CACACACTCTACTAAAAAACAATAATTATTATCAATACTAAAATATTCAATGTCAATATTGTTGCCATCACTATCATAACCTCATTTATCATTAGTACGATACATAAGCCGACGAAATGAACTATCGACGAAATGAACTTTTGACAAAACAAACTTTCGACAAAACATACTTTCGACGAAATGATTGTCGATGAAGTGGTTGTCGACGAAATAACATTCGACGACGAAATAATTTTCGACGAAACAAACGGGACTGAGTCGGATACTTATGGTAGGTGAGTGTATAAGAAAGTGATGACTAATAATAAAAAACAAAAATACAAAGAATCCAAAATATAACTTCTCAATCTAAATAATAGTTTTCAATTACATTTAATACCAAGGATACTAAAATCATTTCAGCCTAACACAGTCCCAGAATATATTTTAGGATTAAAAAATTTAAAAGATTGTGTAATTAGTTATTTTGATCAAATATTTTCGAATTCAGTGATGTAAATTATAGAAATTGACCAAGTCAAAGTTACATTATATAATCCTGCAAGAATAAATTCTGGAGAAATCATAAGAGCAACTAAAAATTTCATGACAAGCCATATTTTAGTAACGTAACAATAAAAATGGAAGAAGAATCAGCCGATTATTATACAGATGATGGAGTTTGTTATGTAAAGGTATGTAATTAATCACATTTAGATTTTTAAATAATCATTTGTATTAAAAACTAAATAAAGCTTGTTGATTATTAGGTTCTTTTGATTTTAAATATCTCATCTGAATTTAATAGATTGAACTAGGTTAAGCTGAACCTAAGCTGGAATAATGACATCCATATATGTGGCGAAAAAAATTGGTCATGCGATATGTACAAAAAATTGTAGAATGAAGGAAAATTTTCTGCTGCTTGACATCATTAGTATTAGTCAAAAGAAAAGATTGATGTCATTAGAGCAGCTGAAAACTCTAGTGGAATCAGCATTTCCCATATTTATTTCATCATTACACGTTCATGTATTCTTTGAAATTTGCAACACCCAAGATTAATGGTTAACGGTATCAACCTCTATGCGACAACAATGCAGGTTCATTTAAATAAAATTTGCCCGACGTCATGATTAACTGTAATATAATTTTATGATGTCTCTTCCTTGTTTTTTTATTGTAAAGATATCCTTGACGCTTGTGTTCCATAAAAGTAGGTGTTAATATGGAACCTCTGAGGAATACTTTTGATTACAAGTTTTCTCAACTTTATTGCTTCAACTGTTTAATATTTTATCGGCTGGTTCTTGTAAGTTTTATAATAAAGTAAAACCAGGGAAAATCCCAGCCAATAATTCATAAAAAACACATTTGTAAAAGCAAGCATGTTTGTTAAATATTATTAGTTGAAAATAGTATAATAGATTTCATTATCAATGCTGATATCATCAGAAAAATCTATATAACTGCCAACCTTTTGATCAATCAACCAAAGTTTATTGCAAAATGAAAATAATTTATTTTCTAAGGTTAATGCATTGAATTCATTCCAACCACCTTCACCAACTCTTTTTATAGAGCCATCATCACTTAATGAGATTTCCCATACAATGTAGTTAAATAAATTTTTTAATATTATGTTGATCTGATAAATAAAGGAAGAATCTTTGATAAGTAGATCTCTAAAGCAGCCACATGAACTGATCAAATCTTGTGCAGATTTTGAGCAGCCATTACGAGTTCTTTTGACTTTTCAAACAGGTGGCCAAATTGCAACACCCGCAGCATATTATCATACATAAATCATTTATTATATTCACCCACTTTTTTTCACTATTATATACATCCATCAAGGAAGGCGAAGAACATTCATTATTGAAAATTTTCATCTTTTCGGCTATCCATTTTTAGTTTGGCGTTGTGTGGGTGGATGTATCCAATCCAACATAGTTTTTTTGTTGTTGTTGTTGTTACTTCTTGAGTAGTCAAGAAGTCAATCGTGTAAAAAGATCTATATGACCGGTTTTTAGTTGTTAAATTTGTCAAGTAAAAGTTTAAAGAGTGGCACTTTTAATTTCTCTCAAATTGGGGAGGGGAAAATTTTTTTTTTTCTTGTGAGTTGCACTGTGACAAGAAAAAAAATTTAGTCATAATAAATTTCCTTTTTTAATGGTGGCGTTGCATAAATCAAATTACATATACAAACAAATATAATGAATTCCTTCCCAAAAAATTAGGTTTGAAAACCAGAGATTTTTCACTGGCTACTCGTATCTGTACTTTCCTGTAAGTTTTGCAAAGAAGAGAAAGGTCGCTATTGTTTACAATGGGTTGAATTTGTAAAACCTCAGATTTTCCAAAGAGATTTCTTTCAAATATAAACACTTGACAATCAACGTATTAAAATAGTGATCAATAATATTATTTTGATATTGTTATTTTTCTTTATTAAGGCAAACATTGTCAAGAGAATGGTGAAGAACTGTTAGAAGTTTTAATAGGTATACGATAGATTAAATTTGTATTACACTAACAAATTTTTAAATAATTTATGGTGATTTGTTAACAGTTGTAAATGAGAATTGTTATATTTGATCACAAGGCGCATTTAAAAGGTTAAAAATAACTATAAACTCCGTTTTGATTTAACAAATTATTAAAAATCATCTGTTGACTCAATTAATTATACACAGCGTGTAACGAAAATAATGGTGGTTCACGATGCATAACAAACAATAAAATGTGTTGTTCATCATGATTCGCATATCTATACCAGCTTTCTTATTTCTCATTGAAGACATTTATAAAATAAAAGGCTTCGTCTACTTCTACTTTCTACTTCTAGCATCTTATAAGTATAACTTCAAAATGTTTCACGTTATTTACATTACTGGCCTGATAATGCTCATTCATCAGGAAATGAACATACCGTTGAACATGATTTCAAAATGCCTAATGAATGAGTACTATTGAATATAAGTAGGATAATGGCTGTCTGATCCAAGGTTTTATATGCTTTTTTTAAAAAAAATAATTGGATTTCTTTTATTTTTAATTGACAAAGTTCTAGAAAATATAGATGCATGTAATTTTATATGTCAAATCTTCAGAACTTAAGATACAATCTCATATGATTTTTGTATAATTATTATGTATATTTTTGCGTTAGAATAATTATTAAGAAATTCATGTCAAATTTTTTAAGTCAAAAATTTTATCTTTACAAAAAATTGGCAATAAATTTTTTTATTTTAAATGAATCTAAACCTATTTAATTATGCTTTGCAATTGTGCAAACCCGCCTTCACCTATCTTTCAACATTTGTTGAGATAAGCAACTTTTTGTAACCGCCATTATTTTCGTTACACTGTAAACAAATTTCAAATTGTGAATGAATGTTTATTAGGAATATAGACAATTAATTTTTCACTTATAAATAAAGCTAATTTACGTCAAAGTTTTAACATAAAAATGTCACAAAATCCAGTAATTGAAGTAATTCAAAAATTACAAGAACCCATGCCACAATATGTGCTGGGTCTCATTCCTGTAATCGTAACATTGGGGGCAGCACCATTTGAATCTTTGGTACATAAACTAATCTGGATTTTCAAATGCATTTCCACACCTTACACGGGTCTCTTTTATTACTTGAACATAAAAGATAACCCAGTGGAAATGTGTATATATTGGCTCCCAGAAGAATATTTTGTTACAACAAAAGAAAAAAGGCTTGACTTCCAACCAGTTGGCCTTCATGTTAAAGATATGCTGATTACTTTGGAGCAAAAAAAAATTTTTAAAAGCTGCACAGCAAATGCATCTGTGTTGGATCGTTTGTCCTCGTTGGCATCTGGATATTATATAACTGTTGGAATAATTGTAGGAATTTCCGGTGTGGCGGGACAATGTGATAATGGCAGTTGGCCCTTTTTAACTTGGTCCTTTCTTTGGACTATTCCGGTGATTGTTAGGAGAACATTTGGAACAGGGATAATTGTAGTCAAGGATCCTAAAATAGAGTTAAAGGGTCACTTAATAAGAGTGTTAGAAGAAAATGAAGACATGGACATAGAATTAGCCGTACAGGATGAAAATTTAGTCGACGAAGAAAATTTGAATGATTTTCCCATCCCCTCACCAAGTTACAAAAGACTAAGGTTTATAATTACTACTTTATTCTCGGTAATAATACCATGGATGTCAGTAGGCATGGCCTACTTCACTCCTCCAATTGGATTGTTTTGTAGATCCAAATATCTTACAGCAGTGTGCTCAATATGGACATTCAACAATCTTGTAGCATGCATTTGCCACATTAATTTTGGATATGACTTTTTAAAAGGAAAAAAAATGAAAAAATTTATTCACGCTTATTTTGTTTCATCTGGTTTTATAATAACATTGCTTTTGCTTCTGCTGGTTGTGCTGTTCAATGAATCGTCATTTTGGGTTGATTTGTTTGGAGACGAGTGTAGAGGCAATCTCTGCCTTTTTGAAAATTTCAACACACATGATCAAACCCAAGCATAGCAGCTTAAACAAAATTTATTGATTGAGATAACTTTATTTTCGCCGTTTTAATTCATCTTTAATTTTACTTTATTAATAGAATAATTTATAATATTGTTATTATTTATTGTAACTTTACTAATAATTGTCAAATAAAATTTTTACTTTTTACATTATTTTGAATCATTTTCTAACTGAATTTGATAATTAGTTAGCTTATAAATGAATAATAATGTTGAACGTTGCTGTCTTTTTGAATTATATTATTAGAATAAAGAGAATACACATTCATCCCACACAAATTACATCGTTTGACTTTCAAGTATCTATTTTAATATTAGTAAGTGAAATGGAACAGATGATGTGGATTATAGAGAGATTAATGGTCAGATACGTAGGAATGGAGTGGTTTGGTTTTGTGAATTATTATTATAGAAGCCTAAATTTTGGCAAATTAAAAAATTTAGTTTCGGTTTTCAAGCAAGTTAAAATATCAAAACTTTAGGCATAATTGCTTTTGCCAAAATTAAATTTATATACAAAAACCAAATTATGTGAAAAACCATAGATATACAAAGAAATAAAAAATTCATATATGTAAATAACATAATTTTTACACAAAAAAAATTTGCTGATGATACTCCCTACGTGAACCAGAGAATGAATAATTAGATTTTATTTTTATTTGTATTCGCATCATGTAATGGTAATACATATTTTTTACGTCCTTCTGGGGCTATATTTTTTTTATTGTCTCAGCAACATTTTTATTTCGTGAAATAAAGTAAGGCTCTATATGTAACCATTTATCTTATCAAAATTATGTTCATTCATGTTTTTATCTGAGATTAATTTGAAAAAATTGAAGTCATTCATTCATATAGATATATCAATCAATTATGTCTCACAAGAATAAATCGAACGAAAAACTCTAGGTAGATTCACCGATAATCCCACACAGTATATGCAATTCAAAAATCTGGTTGAGTATATTCACACCATAGATGGTGAAAATATAGTTATAATTAATAGGAACACGTAAGATAGGAAGGTGGTATTTGATTATGGAGAGTTATGTAAATATTTAGAGGCAAATAATATCGAATTGGATATTCTCAACATGTAGTGGAAAATTATCGGATATATGTAATTAGCTTTTTTTTCGGCACTTTGTGCTTACTATTACACTGAATATACTCATGAAAATCTTGACCACTTGGGCCAGTTTATTGATACGGAAATGAATAACAGTATAATATAATGTTTTTCTATCTTACCTAATATTTATTATGTGGTGGTGAAGAAACGGTTGAGCTTGGATGTACATTCCGGGGTGGATGTGAAATGGCTTGATCTAATGTTCGCATTAGTAAGCTTTCATTATGGTGACTGTGGTGTGACCAACTCTCCTCCATAAAGGGGTGCATCCTCCAGAGATTGCGGAGAGCAAAAAGCCTTATTAAGGGCGCTGATATGATTCTGCAGGGTTGCCTACATATTAAATAATTCTATTAATTAACCAAGACTTTGTTCATCCAACTCTGTCAAAAGATGATAGGCTTACCCTCAACTTCCATAATTCATTTACAAATTCGATAAGCGAAGGCTGGCCTCGATTCATAGGGATTTGTACTGATCCAAGAGGCTGAACAAAGTAGAAAGCTTCAAATGGCATAGTCATAACCCAACATGTCATGGTCCCTCCTAAAGTAGGAAAGGTTATTCACAAGTGGTAAAAAAATTCAATTGCGACATTACATACCAGCAACTTGGACACCAAATACTGGAACTCTGTTAAAATCTTCTTCCAGGTCCTTCATTTCCCCACTCCTTCCTCTAGTGAGCTTCCTCAATAACCGTACGTGAGCATCTTTCATCATCAGCAAAATTTTTTTGTGTAAAAATTATGTTATTTACATATATGAATTTTTTATAGGGATATTTCTCTGCTACTTACTGTATATAGATTTATAGAATTATGTATATCTTTGCAGAAGTGTATTTATATATAATTATTCTAATGAAATAAAACCTATTTACAATAAATTCATTTTTACAATCAAATCTTTTGATTATTTGAACTTCTTCAATAATAGATTCTAAAGGGATAATATTATATTCAGTAAGAAGTTTTAAATGTGGACAATCATATTTATAAAATAAAAAATGATACCAATTAACCAAAGCAACATTTTCATTCAATCTATTAAATTCAGGTGAGATATTTAAAATCAAAAGAACCCAATAATCAACAAGCTTTATTTAGTTTTTAATACAAATGATTATTTAAAAATCTAAATGTGATTAATTACATACCTTTACATAACAAACTCCATCATCTGTATAATAGTCAGATGAATCTTCTTCCATTTTTATTGTTATGTTACTAAATATGGCTTGTCATAAATCAATAGTACAAGCAGCTAGTGCCAAAAATAAATTTTTTTTTTTTAATTGAATTAGACTGTTTGAGCCGACAGATCACCGCATTTTCTTTCCATGTGGCTGTTAATTCCTAAGAATAACATTTAATAATTGTAACCACACTTCAACAAGAAAGTTTAGTGACTTGTCACGAAGACATCCATGGGACTCCAAATCTAATATTATTTGATATCCAATTTGATAATATTATTTTATTATCATTTATATTTTTATTTTTATTAACATTTCTGCTAATAATATTATTATTGTGACTATTATTGTTATTATTGTTTTTATTATTATTGTTGTTGTTTTTATTTCTTTTCATATGTTTGTTTATACCAAAATGTATTTCTGTATTTATAACCTCCTGACAACGTGTTTTCCATATTTTTTCTTTGATTAGAACATTCATGTTTTCCATAACACTACATGCACTCAAAAATTTATCACATGACAACATAATTCCGAAAAAATGTCTACTACCCTATCTATAACAGGCTTTTCTATGGCAAAACTCCACCACAACAAACTTCTCTTTATATTATTAATTTCTCTCGATAATGAACATTACTATAGAGAGTAAACTATTGAAAAAGCTAATTAATATAAAAAAAGAATTTAGTTGAAAATCAGCCCGACTATAAGTGTCATATCGGAGCAAAATGTAGTGATGTTAAAGAAATTCAACTCCATCAGTCATGCTGGACCACAAATATTAGTATAGACTAATTCTAAATTGCTAGAATCATCTATAAAATCAAACCCATAAATTTCAGACAACTGTTCCATTGCCACACGCGTCTTACATCATTAGGATCAAAAAGTCAAAATCAATTCTTAAAATGACAACTCCAAAAAGATCAAGAAGCCAAAAACAATAAAATACCTGGAAAAATGGTAAACAAGATAGAATATTTATAACCATGGTGATCAAACAATTTTTTGGCCAAAAAAAAATTGCAATGACTTTCTCCAAAACGGACATGCCAATACTGATTTATAATACGCATAAAGACATTATGCAAGTATTATTGGTGGAAAATTTATTCAATACACAAGCATACATTATCTATTTTTTAGTTCTATTGCCGAAAGAATTACAGTAACAACATGAACTTGAACAGTGAATATTATTAATAATATTTCCGACTATATTATTAAAGCTAAATTATAATAATATTTTGGAATAAAACTTTTTGTTTTTTTTTAAAAATGATGTTGCAAGGTGACCTTTCGGTTAACGCTGATTATTTAATGCGTTTACAGGTCAACTTTGGGCTATATACTCTTGTCAATTAATCACAGTAATTCGATGCTAATCAATTAATTAGTTTATGAATTTATTTTGGTTCTCGCTTACTGCATCTTCTTGTATCCAGAAGCTTCGGCGAATCTGTAAACATACTTAATGGTGCCAGAAGATAACTGCAAATAAATAATGATGGCTTCTATAAAGTTCACTTATTCACTTATGGTCATTATATTTCAGTCGTTTACCCTTGATTATAATTATTGACTGATTGCAAACTCGCTTTGATTATTTACAATGCAACTTTGGCAAGCTTGTTCCATTACTAGTAATATTTCTAATCAACCTTTGGACAATGTTCACTAGTTAACCAACATCAGTATTAAATCTTTGTTTATTCACTAAAACAAATTTACGTTATAAGTCGTTGTTTAACTAAAAATGTCAATATAATAATAAAAATAGGGAACCAAGCAAAAATTCGTCAAAGCAAAAATTCGTTGAAACAAAGTTCATTGAAATATAGGGTTGACTGTATATATGGATAACTTAAGCTTAACAAGATATCGCTTCAAATTGATTGATGATTTTTGTTGGTGGTATTTATATCGAAATTTTCTAAAGAAGAATAGTTGTATCTGATGAATTTCTTGGTATTTGTTTTTGTTTTTACAACTGAGAGAGGGTAGATGAATTTGTTCAAAAGAGAACACAAAACAGTTAGCGAAAAATTACAGTGGTAGTAAGGAATGATTATTGGATTTGATCTACTGTTTGCACAATTTGTGGTTTTTTTCTTTAAATCAATATATTGCATACTAAAGATGAAGCTGTTATTCAGGCGCTTGATTAAAAATTGTGGTAATAAAGTTTGGTTTTTCGTTGTTTACTATTACTTTATTTGTTGTAAAATAAAATTAGAAAGATAATGATCATAAACCCACCAATCCAGATGTCATATATATAAATTCTGTTTATTTTTAATTTAACAGAGATATAAAGTTATTATAATACAAAAAAAAAGAAATTTTATACACAAGAATTAATGAGAAATAAATAAGGCTTAAATGAATTTTTTCTGATCTAATTCAGCTTTTGTTCTCCATAAAGCATATCCACCAACTAGAATTATTATGAATAATGTGAAATATACAATATATGACCAAACAGATGATTTTTCATTGCTTTTTGATTTGTTAGCTTCTTGAAATGATTTTTGTGCCTGATAAAACTGTCCTGCGATACGTGACTAAAAAATTAAATTAATTAATCAATTGCTAATTTTCTTACTTTTAAAGAAGTTGAAAATGAAACTTACATCCATTGCTTCAATTTTGCTTGAAATACGTTTTAAATCATCTTTTATTTCTTTGATAGACTGTTCGTAAGAGACAATTGTTATTTTTGAAATTCTAGATTCTATATAATCTAAATTTGATTCAATTCTTTCTAATTTTTGTCTTTAGAAAACCATTATCATAATTAATTAATGTAACGCAATATATTAAAACATCATAATATAAACATAAATTTTTCTTACGATAATGTGGATGCTAGTTGTTTCCCACCATCATTATAATTATTATTATTAAATCTTCCATCAGGACTTATGAATTCGTGTAATCTATCAAGTGATTCAAGTATTTTTGTTTGCATTCCTCTAATGAAAGCTAAACTTCTCTAAAAAAAAATTATTTGATGATAATAAAATTAATTTATAAATCAAGTTAATCTAATCAATAAATTAATTTTTCGTTACATACAATATCTTCTTCTTTGGAGTCTTCTGTTGGATTTACTACCACTTTCTTCACCTCTTCAATACGCTAGTATATTAATAGTAATATAATAAAGATTACTACTATGATAATCATCATCATACCATAATTGTTGCCTAAAATAATAATCTCATATCATATACCCTTTTAAGATCTTCTGGCATTTCATAATTTTCATTATTTCTTTGATTTTCATTTTCATAAGGTCGAAGTGGTCGCTGAAAAATGATTGAATTATTTTTTTTTAATAATAATGAAATATAATTTTAATTTTAATCTATATTTTAATAGATTATACTAATAATAAAAGATTTACCGGTGCCTTTTCAGGCGGATTTATTTCAAATGTTTCCATAGATAATACATCATGATCATCTAAATAAATCATGGTTTATTACTAACTGTCGTCTAAAATATAATTAAGTTTCTTTTTTTTAAAAAAAATTTATGAATACCTGGCGTGTCGCCATCAGCCAGTGCCTTAAATTAACAATATTTTACCCAATTAATAAATAAATATTGCATATGCTTATTCATATGTATATATATAGATTGAAGAAATCAGCAAAAAATAATTATAAATAAACTTACAGATACACCAAAATAATTTCCTAAAGGTAATTGAATATTTTTTGCTTCAAAACATAGTTGAGGTTCCTTTTTCCCGTCATCTTTAATATCTACATACACCTTTATAATTTATGACAACAACAAACAACAACAACAACAACAACAATAATAATAATCTTTAATAATTGAAGAATATTATTTTTTGTCTCAAATTAACAGATCATAATAATAATAATGAGGAGAAAAAGACTATATAACTATCATAATCCACAACCATCCTATAAATGCACATACCTTAAGATTATTGTCAAAATAATGGATTTTAACAAATATTGGTGTTTGTGTATTTCGAAATAATCTATAACATCCGCCAATTGACTTTGCTGCAGGATTAGTAAGATTATTGTACAATACAATTCCATCATTAATATGTCCCATTACAATTGATTTTTCTCGCTATATCAAAATAATATTCAATATATTATTTATGTTCAATTATCATATTCATATTCATAATCCTCATCTTCATCTTCCAATTCCCAACCAACCTTTTTTTTAACATCTGCTGTCTCAAACATAATTCCTAATCCATTCCATTGATCTTTACTTCCAAACACCGGGCCTTCTTGCCCTCGATCTTTCGTATACCAAAATGCCATTCCTCTACCTCCCAAAAAATAATTCCCACTAATTCTAAACGATAATTCTATCATCCAATCCTTATACGTATTCGCATATTGCGACCATATTGATCCAGAATGTTTTGGAACACTAGGCGCCAATCGAATAAAATCTGGTGCGAGTAATGCATCTGCTCCCAGATACGTATAATGATAATTATTTAATTAATTGATTGAATAATTTATTATTGAAATTAAAGAGATTTCAATTTCCTCCACTTCCCTCCCTCTTCTTAAATAATTTATAAACTTACGTCCATAAGTATCGAAAAATGGTACAGTGTTGTTATAATAGTATGGTTTTTTAAAGGTAAACTTATAGTCATGTCTAAATTTTTGTTCTTTTGGCGTTTCTTCTTCAATTGTATAAACCAATACTGGAAAAGATGGTAATAAAATACATATTAAATATACTATAATTAATATTATGAAATTCATTCTTTTAGAATTAAAGGTCGACATTTTTTTTTTGTAAGAAATATTTATGATCGATCATTCCAATCAAATGTCGACAATTGGCAACTTTTATTTGTGACATGATAGATAAAAAATATTTAATTCAAATTTTCAATTAATCATTATTTGTACATTAAAATTGCATATCTTCTTAAATTTTCAAAGAAATCATGATAATAATAATAATATGTCTGCTGCTCTGCCCCCACACTCATTCTAATAATAACAATTCTTCAAACAAGAATGTTGATTCAATTGGAAAAGATAATAATAATGAATTAAAAGAAACACGAATATTCCCATTATTCATGAACCAACCAATCATCAATAATTTCAGCAATTCCATTCAATGAAAGCCATAAAAATCATAGCACGTTTGTATGAAAGACATTAAATAACAATATAACTGTTTTTTAAAGACTATCAGTTTAAAAATAACCTAGGACCGTTCAAATTTAGAAATCTGTTTAACCATCATTTTTAGAAAAAAAAACTACGAGGGTTAAAAATTGACATCTAGCCAGCATTGTGGAAATTTGTTGTTACACGAAATGTTATACAGAACCTATTGCTCTTGAAACTTCACCAGTATGTCTCTAAATTGGACATTAAGTTCAGATCCAATTCAAATCCAGTTTACCACTTACTTTTTATTGCCAGAATCTTTGCCGTGTATTGTAAAGTTACATTGCACAATATAAAAAATTAGAACATTTCAAATTCCACTATGCTCATCTAGCCCCTATACATGTATTTACTTTTCCCCAAGTTGAAGTTATTTTTATTAAAGTATAATTGTGTAAAATATAATAATAAGATACAAACAATTAAAAATAAAACTACTGCCCCTGCTACTATTAATCCAAAAAAATTGGAGTACATGAGACCAACTTGCCATTTAGTAGCTCAAAAATCGAACTAACTAGGCCTACTTAAAGTTAATGCCTATGCACCTAACTGATATTTTCGATTCAATGGCTAGTTAACTATTATATAAAATCCAACCAATCACTTCCAAATCCAATTGAATGTAATATCTCCCTTTTACCCAATTCTAGATTGTCATAAGGATATTTAAGGCTCCGAACGAATCGAATCGAATTCAAAAAAAACTGAATTCGATTTGATTCGATTTGATTCGTGACTCTATTCGAATCAATTCGAATCAAACCGGATTCCTAAATTTTTCTTAATGTCATATTAAATACAGTGAATCTCAATGTAGTGTGCCTCAATTTAATGGATAATAACAGATCGAGGTTTATTGATAATAATAATAATATTATTATTCTCAATATAACGGATTTCTTAATATAGTCACAACGGATAGACAGGACACATAATAATAATAAGAAAAATTTTATATGTTTTTATATGTGGAGCAAAAATTTTAAAAATCCGTTATGATAAGAATTTAATTATTATTATTATTATTATTATTATAGTCCGCTGTGACAAGGTTTGAATATAATAATAACGGATTTTGGAAAAAAAATTCTAAACCCAAACTATTTGCTAAACCAAGATTGTGTATATTTTAAATTTTTAATTGATAAAGGATATTATTTAGTGATGGTAGCCGAAACTATTTTTGAAAAAAAGGTAGTTTCGTCCAATACATATAATAAGTATCTAAATCAATTTACTTTATTTTAAAAACTCCCAATTTCAGCCATTAAAATTAGTTTCGTCAAAGTTTAGGCCAATTAATTTCGGCAATTTCGGCCCACTAAGCATAGAGTTGAATCGGTTCGAATCAAATTATATATTCGAATCATTTTGAATCAAATTGAATTGAGTCAGTTCGAGTCAAACTATATATTTAATATTCGAATCGGTTCGAATCGAATCGAATAGAATCAGAGTACAATTTAATTTGATTCGAATCGGTTCGAATTTCATTGATTCGTTCGGATATTATGATTATTAGATATTGTAGATACATAATTCAATGGTTTCTTTTATGTTTTTACTTCCTATCTATACCAGCAAAATTTTTATTGATTAGCATTATTTCACAATGTGGTTTCCATATTTCTTCCAAAATTCTCATTTCTGAAAAAACATAAGGAAATAAAATTTCTTTAGTGTGCATTCTATTATTGAGAAATTTATTGATTGAGCCAGATAAAAATTTTGGAACAATGCCTTTTGATTAAATCAATCGCTGTTAAAGATTCATTATTCTGATTATTATAACCACAGGTGATCATGTTCCAAATCTTTTGGTGACAATTTTTTTTACTCAACCAGGTCATTACTAAAGTTAGACTAGCGCACGATCATCATATCTAAATTTGGTAATAAGAATATTGAAATTTGGCTACATGGCGTAGCAATAGAAGGTCTTTAGACCGAGCAGACTATAAAAGTTTTTTTTACTTAATATAAATGAAAAAAACACTCTTAAAGGCTATTAATTGAGTGTTTTGAAATACAATCGCGGAATTACTATACACACAGCTTGCTTGGTTATCGAGCCTTTACGTTTTAAAGTTTATCTAGATTTCTATTGTTTATAGTAAAATCAACAAAATTGATAACTTTGAACCTTTACAAAAAAATTTTTTACCAATATAAATAAAAAAAAACTCTCTAATAGGCTGTTAATTGAGTGTTTGGAAATAAAATTCCAGAAAGATTATTCTCACGACCTGCTTGGTTATTGAGCCTTTAGATTTTAAAGTTTATTTAAATCTTCAATGATTTTGATGTGTAACATTAAAAAATCCGCACATAATAATTTTCTATATTGACCTACACCGCAGAGCAATCTTTCACAGTACATCTTCACTCTGCTTTCTCGTCTTAATGTTTATTATTTTTCTTTCTTGGTAAATTTCATGGGTAATCCTTTCTTTTCTTAGATAAATTTCAAGTGCCCTGATCATCATTTATTTTGAAAATGTAAGGAGCAATTTTTTCACCTTGTTCCTTTTTCAAAATACTTCTAACGGTGTTGTGATTCTTGGGTTCCATAGTAGATCTGATGTAAATGAGTTCCATATTATTATTTTAATATAAATAGTTTTATATATCCTTAACAAATGGGATATTATAAACTAATTGTGATGATAGTAACTAAATTTTGATCCCTGAAATTATTAGTAATACCAATGTTCACTTTGTCTGGTTTTGTTGCAGTATGTCCCGTATATACATTTTAGACAATTTAGACGCATACCTGATACTAACGCTAATACGAATACTACTCTCTTTTTTTACATTATTGTACTAGCTCTGATTATAGTTTATTCTTCACGCGTAATGAATATTATTTATTAACGCATAAATATTTAACAATGAAATGCTCGATCAATATTTTTGATAAATACTATTTCTTCAACTTTAAAAGCATAAAAGGTCTATTATATGAAATAAATTTTATTATAATAAAAAATCACGCATTCCATCGTATATAATAATAATAATAATAATAATAATAATAATAATAATAGAAGTGTGGCGTATTCAGGGTCCTCTTTTATACCCGGTTTTTGCTAAAAAACCTCTTTACTAATTAATCAATTAGCAGTATGCTATATACATTAAAATTACCATTTCTGGTTCTTTTCTTAATATTAACAAAACAACAGAAAATCTATACTGAAATTGTAAAAAAAATATTACGCATCATATTTGATTGATATAAATAAAAAAAAATTTTGATATCTCACTTTTATAATCTTTGATTTTTTTTTTAAAAAAAAAAAATTATGAATAATTATAACGTATATCAGCTTTTTAACGCTACATATAATCCTGACCCTAATGTACAAAAACAAGCAGAATTACAATTAAAACAGGTCTTTTACATATATAGTTATTTGGTTTTTTTTCAAAAAAAATTTTGTTAATTATATATTTTTTTTGTAATAAAGATTGAAGGTACACCAGGATTTATAACTAACCTTCTTCAAATATTAAGTGCACAAGAATTAGATAATGGAACAAAGCAAGCTGGTAACTATCATTATCGTTACCATTAATCATATTAATCAGAATATTAGTATTAAATTCAATACGAAAGCATATTCTCATTTTTATAAAATATAAAAAAAATTTTCAAGTTTCAATCTATTTAAAAAATCGGATCAGAACATCATGGTATGTTGATGAAGAAGAACAAATACCATCAAATGTTGTTGCTATTGATTTACAAGATCGTGAAGCCTTCAAAGCAAACATATTAAATATTTTGGTAACAGTTCCCAGCATTATAAGGTAAAAAATTCTTTTGTAATTTTTCAATTTTATTTATAATTTAAATCCATATTTAATAAAAAAATTTCTTAATTCAGAGTACAAGTTCTTGATTCTTTAAGAAGGGTTCTTGGTGTTGATTTTCCAGAAAAATGGCCAAATTATATGGATCAAGTAATTACTTTGTTAACATCAAACGATTTGAAAATTTCATATATTGGATTATTAGGTTTACAGCAAGTAGTTAAAGTTTATCAGTAAGTAATATATTATTATTAATTAAAAAATTTTTTTGATTGGAGGGAATTAATAATATTTTTTTAAAAAAAAAATATTGTATTTTTAAAAGATGGAGATCTCCTGATGTTAAAGATCCATTAATTGAAATCATTCAAAAATCTTTTCCAATTTTACTACAAATTGCTGAAATTATTATAAATGAAACAAATGTTGATGCAGGTGAAATGATGAAAATTATAGTGAAAACGTTTGGCTCTTCAATTCATGTAAGAGAGTGTTTTCTTAATGGAAATTTTCTAAATAAAAAAAAGATTTTTTTATAATTAACAATAAAAATAAAAATAAAATGTCAATATTAGTATGAACTACCAAAACCTCTTCAAGATAGTACATTTATTGGACATTGGTTAGGCCTATTGTTGAAATTGGTTGATAAGCAAATACCGCAAGAATTGATTCCACAATATGATGATGTTGAAGAAAGACGAAATTTTATATGGTACAGAGTTCAAAAATGGTCATGTCATGTTATTGATAGGCTTTTTTCAAGATATGGTAATCCTGCACAATTATCATCTTCGCCTACAAAAAATATGACTTTTGCTGAAACTTTTGTACAAAACTTTGCTCCTCAAATATTATATAAATACTTGGAAAAAACCAACCTTTGGATCAAAAAGGAAATTTGGTTAAGTCCAAAAGTGTTATATTACATTTCTAGTTTTTATAAAGAATCGTAAGTATAAATTGATATTTTTTTTTTGTATTTATATTTATATTAAGTTAATTAAAAAAATCTTTTTTTTCAAAGTATAACACATAAAATTACATGGAAGATTCTTAAACCTCATTGTGAAATATTAGTTTCTCATTACATATTTCCTCAATTATGTTTTACTGATGAGGATGAACAATTATGGAGTGAAGATCCAATTGATTTTATTCATAAAAAACTTGATCCATTAGATGACTATTTATCACCAACTTCTTCTGCCATATCATTTCTGGGAAGTTTAGCTAGACACAGAAAGAAATTCACATTCACAAATATCTTAAACTTCATAAATAGCATTTTAACTACTTATCAAGAATCACCACCTGAAACAAAAAATCCAAAAAATAAAGATGGCGCTTTAAAAATGATTGGATGCTTGTCGGATTTGGCTTTACATCGAAGATCTGGCGTTGCTAATATAATGGAAGCATTTTTTGTTCATCATGTTTTTCCTGAATTTCAAAGTCAACATCCTTACTTAAGAGCAAGGGTACGTTTTTGTGTATGCGTGTATATATATATATATATAGTCTGTATTATTTTATATTAATTATAATTATATGCTTTATTCTTTTGAAATTTGCAAAGGTAGGCTTGTGATATGATTATGAGATTTAATGAGCTTGAATTTCAACAAGAAGCAAATATCATGACTGCTTTTCAAGGAATTACGATTTGTATGCAAGATCCTGAACTCCCTGTTAAAATTCAAGCTTGCTTAGCTTTGGAACCTTTATTAAAATATGAGTCAGGTACATTGATTTTAAAATATAAAAATGAATTTATATGAATACTGTCAATAAATAATAAATCATTTTATTTTTTATTTTGATATTGTAGTGAAAAAAGTGCTTGTTCCTAATTTACCAGCAATAATGCAAAGTAATTTTAGTAAAAAATTTTTGTGGTGATTTACAACAAATATATTTTTATCTCTATGTTCATCTATATTTTCTATATTTTTACACAACATATGTGCATAAACATTAGAGCTTCTTGAACTTACAAATATGATTGATTCTGACATTTTGGCAACTTTAATGAAAGAACTTGTTGAGGAATTTTCAAGTGAATTAAATCCATTTGCTACAGAATTTTGTCAACAATTGGTAATTATTTGTTCAATTTATTAATTAATTTATTATTAGTATATTATATTAGAGATTACTACTAAAATATATCTAATTGAATTATAGTGTACCACTTTTCTTCGCATCATGCATGATTACAAAGAAATTCCTTCCGCCAATGACAACATTGATGATAGTAGTCTTGATGATGCAGAGATGAATGAGAAAATTTTGACAGCTTCAGGTATTATTAGAACGGTAGTTACGCTGATTGTAAATTTAGATACTACACCTGAAGTTTTAATTCAAATGGAGTCTAGTATAATGCCTATAGTTGTATTTGTTTTAGAAAATGAAGTTATTGGTAATTTCCCAATTAATTTACTTGATTCAATATATACATATTATATATAAATATATTTATATGTATCTATATTATTTCACTCATTAGAATTATATGAAGAGGTTTTGGATATCATAGATAGCTTGACATTTTCTATTAAGCAAATTTCTCCTGCAATGTGGAATATTTTTGAATTATTATATAGAACATTTAAAAAATCGGGGGTTGATTATATTGAATGCAAGTGTTTAAAAAAAATTGCTTTTAAATTACTTGTATTGTTTTTATATTTATAGTATGTAAAAAATTTTTTTAGCAATGTTACCATCTTTGGATAATTATATTTCTTATGGGACAGAAGTATTTATGCAAAATTCCAATTTTCATGTCATGATATATGATATGATTGATACAGTAAGATTATGATTGTGATTATAATTATGTTGATCAATTAATTATAAATGTTATTAATTGCGCTAATATCATGTGTTAGGTAATGAAAAGTGAAAATTTATCAGAAACTGATCGAGTTGCTGCTTGCAAGCTTGCAGAATCATTTTTATTGAATTGTAGTGGTATTATAGATCAGGTAGATATTTTTACATGTATATGTATTTATTTATTTATTAATTATGTGTGTTGATAATTTGTTCTCTTTTTCACCTTCACTTTGTCACTCTTATTTTATAGTATATTGAACCAATCCTTGGACTTGTATTTAAATATTTAGCCGATATCGAAAATATTGAAACTTCAAGTTTTAAATTTTATTGTGTTGAATTAGTAAGTCTTTTTCTTTTTACCTTACATAATTCTCTCATCTTTTAATTAATTATTTAATCTCATCACTATTTTTAGGTGATTGATTGTTTATATTATAATCCATTATTAACTTTACGTATTCTGGAAGAACGTAGTTTAACGCAATCATTTTTCACATTATGGTTTAAAGATTTAAGTCATTTCTCACGTGTACATGATAAAAAACTGGTTATAGCCACAATATGTCGATTTTTTGAAATACCAATAGAGCAATTACCTGCCACTTTACAAAATGGTTGGTCACAATTACTTGATGGTGTTTTGGAAATGTTCAAGTCTTTTCCTGAGGCTGAAGAAAGTTAGTAATAATAATAATTATAATAATAATATTATTATTATTTTAAATAGCCTTCTTTAATTTGAAACTTTTTCCTTGATTGTAAATGATCAGATAGAGAAATTCTAAAGAAATTTTATGAAAATGGTTTTGATAGTGATGATTTGGATGATGATGACGACGATGACGATGGATCTATAGATTTAGAAACTAAAGATAATGATGGTGATGATGGCTATGAAACAGTTGATGGTAAGTATTTTTTTTAGAAGAAAAATCATTTCCTTCTTCTTGGATAAAAAAAAGATGTCAATTCATTAATTTGTTCGTTAATAGATGATGAAAATATAGAAGACGAAGATAAAGAATATTTAGATTTCTTGTCATCAGAGGTAGAGAAAAAAGATTTAAAAAGAATTTTACTTTTCGAATATTCATATATTTTATATATTAATTAATTTTCTTTACAGGCCAAGAAAAAATCTCTGAGTGATTTAAAAGATGAAGATGACGAATATGACGATGATGATGATTCAATAGAAGAAATATTATTTGAATCACCTTTAGAAAAGCTTGATGTTTATATAAAATTTCAAGAAGTATTTTTCGGTAATGAACAATATCAATAATAATAATATTATTATTTTTTTTAAAAAAAAAAAACGCAAATTTTTATTTTATTTTGTTTTATTTTATATAGGTATGCAACAATATTATCCTAATTCTTATGAATTACTTGCAAAAAACCTTGATTCGGAAAAAGAAAATTTTATTAGATCTTTATTTTCTATCGCCGAACAACGAAAAGCTGAACTCGCAAAAGCTCAACAACTTGTAAAATAATTAATTGATTTGGTTTTAATTTTTTTCAGGATTTATATTTTTTTGTTTTATACATTAATATTCCAATGTTTAAAAAGCCTTACTAACATAATAATTATTAAATTTATTTTATAATCATATTATTGATATTTAAACAAATCTAGCACTTTTAAGAAGCACATAATAATTAGATAAATAATAATAATAGATAAATCGCATTTTTATAAACTTTCGAGTATTCAAAAGTTTTCGTTGCATCTTCAGCTATCAACGACCATCCCATTTTTGGTTATACTTGTCTTATTTTACTGATTTTGCTGATAGTTGTTGTTTTTGTTTTTGAGAATGAATTAGATTTCATAAAGATCTAAGTTATTATTTTCTAGGAAAAAATTTCCACTCCAGAATGTAAAACATAAGGCCTAACCTTACCTTGCATAACTGTTTCTGTGATGAAAATATTTTATATAGGCCTGCAAAAAGTTAACTAAACTGAATTGTTCTCGTAATTTTCAATTAACTAACTTAGTCAAAATTTGGAGTTAGAAGAATTAATTTGCATTCACAATGGATTTACCAGTTTAGCCTTTCTTAAACTATTGACTAAGTTAGAACATCTTGATATTAGAGGCAATAACACCACTAATTGCTTTACTGTAAAGAGAGAACAGCAATTGTCTAAAAATAATAATGATACTTTAAAATGTTCTACGTAATTCACTACCTACAATTCAAATCATCCTTCCTACCTTCCTTGTTTCCACTAAACTTAAATTTGGTTTTGTTTGTGGTTTTTTTACGAGCTTTATTGAATTAATTATTTCATTATAAAGAAAAAAAGAAGGAAAGTCCAGTTGACAAAAAATATGGTTGTTAAATATTATTAATATTATTATAAAAATGAGGTTACTTGGTTAAAATTAGTCAAACTCGAGCCTAAACTCAAACACTATGGACTATCATCACTCAGGGTGCTTACATTGTTTTTAATGCAGCAAATCAAGCAAGAAGGAAAGATTTATTTCAAACCAAAAATATTGACTGTATGTTACAAATAAAATTCGAGAAATAATAATAATGATGATGATGAAAAGTAAGAACAACAACTACATTTTACAAAATTTTCGTTCTATCCACGTTCATCATCTTGTAAAAGATACAAATGTGAAATTTTTAAAAGCATTGTCAGAGAAACGAGCATGATAGGATGAACGGCAAAACAAAGCCTAAACGTTATTATTTTTAATTAATCTTTTGCCAAATTATATATTTTATCCAATAAGAACTCCAAAAATACCCAACAGTCAAACATTGGTACTGATTTGTCAACATCTTTATGTTTTTAAAAGAAAGATTAAAATACGAGGCTTATTTAAAGGTGTTAGTATTTATACGACGGGTATTCTAGGTGATATATTAGTTCACTTCTCAACCTATGATGCTTTAAGAGAACATGTTAGTAAAGGTAATGCAAAAGGTATTGGTCTCTCGTGTCTTGAAGACCGTAGTCAAACAACGATCAATGCTTTCTTAGGAACATTAAGTGATGTAATTAACTCTAGTTTATGGTACCAGTTGATGCTATATCACGACAATTCAAATTTCTAAGGCATCTTCGTCACCGTCGCCTTGTAATTCCCGGCTAAATTATGGATTGTAATACCGTTTGGAAGTTTGAATTTCTGGGTGGGAATTTGAAAAAGTTAAAGAGTGGAGTACCGTAGAGGTTGCTGCTAATCCAGATGAAAAAGTTGAAAAGCTTTATTTAATTTTTTTTATATTACTATATCATACACAAGTATTGCTTTATTTTTATTTTTCATTTGATTTAAAAAAAAAAATCAATAATAAAAGAATTGTTAATTAAATTTTATATCAGTCATTTTTATTCTTGCAACAAATAAACCCCACCATTCATTGATTTAATCAATGATAATTATCTTACGATATTTAGCATCATCAAAATTAATTACCAAGATAATTAACGATAAGGATAATATATGAAATTAATAACCAAGATAATTAACGATTACTGACAGTGGTCAATATTAACGGGAAATTGGTTGGTCCATGGTTTCAATCTCACAATCCTCCCCTTCTTTAAATTCATCGTCCTGATGAATTATTTCTTCTTCATCTCCCATTTCTTTTCTTCCTTTTTTCCCTTTAGCTCCAAGTCCACTTGACCTTGAATTTCCAATTTCCTTTCATGTTTGATACAATTCTTTGGTACATCGATTGTCAGATGGCTCGCTTATTTCCTTCATGTCTGTTTGATTCTTGTTATGGTGTAATTATGTATTTTCCGTTTGGCTCCTTCAGCCACTAGAATTTGCACTTGTACTAGCCGCACTCATAGTACTTAGTTCTTCAAGTATTTTATTGCTGGTTTTTCCTTCTAGAGCTATTAAAATTAATTTATTCTTCGTAAATTTGTTTATTTCATCTCTAAATTTTGATTCACTGTATGTTAATAATAATAATAGCGTTAATCCGGGTCGTAACACTAATTTAAATTAATAAAAAAAATTTTTTTCAAGTATTGAAAAGGCTGAGAACGAGTACAAAGAAGCGAAGAAAGAGTTGAAGGAGTGGAAAGAAAAGTGGGGAGGGAGGCTGGACCAGTTGTTGGGAGGAGAAAAGAAAAGTATGATCGCTTTAAATAAAAAAAAAAGAAGAGTTGACGAAGAAGGTGGAAGATAGATGGAAGCATGTTGAATATTTACAAAAAAACGATTCAGCAATAAATCGAGGTAATGGACTAATTGCATAAAAAATATTACAAAAAATTATTTTTCATTCATTCCATTTGTTTATTTATTTGGCACACTGTTATGAAATTATGAAATGCAAATTGTTATCATATTATATGCATTTCATGCCTTTTATAATTTTCATTTTTTAAAAAATACACTTTGATTGTTTAGATTTTGAAATATGTAAGCATAAAAAGATAGATAATCGGAGAGGTTAAAACAAGTGGCAACACAATGTAATTGTATAAAATTGTCTCAGTTATTGGAATTAAGAATAACATTACTGCTAAGGACAAATTGACAGATGGTATAGGAGAGTTAGCCTGGCAAATCAAAGTTATCTTTGAACAATAACCAAGATGAATTAACGCATTGTTATCTTAACAGATCTTCATACTATTTATCTTTTCAAGATTTGTAGAGCAGATACAGTATCTGGGTTTACATGGTATCATACATCAAGTCTGTTATTTTATCCTCTTGGAATACAAATTCTACACAAATCCTTCCATGCAAAATCTGAAAGTCTTGGTTTTGTCCAATTTATTCTTTCAACATGTTGAAGAAGTATTCATAGAAGAATTATTATTAGCCCATGAAGTTCTTCCTGAAGATGAATTATTTGATTTGGTGAACAAAATTGAAAATGGATTAGCAAAGGCATCAGAAACATTTAAAAAATGGATGCATTTAATCCTTTCTATATGTTGACTTGGAGGAGCTCATGGTCCTGATTTTGCATTTGCCATTGCTAAAGTTGTAGTGAATACAGACTTTCCTGATGAACCAACAAATATACAAAAAAAAATACATGGATGAATTAGTAAATGATCTAGAAATCGGAAAAAGAGAATCTTTTGGATTGTTTCAGGCTTTAGAAGATAATGAGTTCCAAGAGCAATTTCTGGCCTTTTCAAATCCACACACACTGAATTAGCCATTGGTATGGGAATTTTTAAAGAACAAAATTTGGTACATAATTGTTCATCAGCAGCATCTTGAAGAAATGTTCAACAAATATGATATCAAGTCTCATCCTAATATGTCTATAAATCTACAAGAAGCCAATATGCAACTCTCAGGACCTAAAGTTCTTGGAACTTTACTTACCAAAGAAATTTTATCAAATATTTGCTCAAAAAGAAAACAGAAGGAAGTGATTATTGAAAATGTCCCTACTGATGGAGAAGAAGTTGCAATTAAACAACTTGAAAAGTTTTTGAAACTTTCAAAAAAAAAAACTTTAAATACTTATTTATTAAAATAGAAATTTTTTTTTGAAAGAATATTTTAATATTTTTAATAAAATTAATAATACTTGTCTTCAAAAGTAATTCACTTTTCTATTAAACTTTATGTTTTAACTAAATTCTTGCATGTAGAAGTTTTTATTTTGGTAAATAAAAAATAATATAAATGAATAGATGGATATATTAATTATTACACCAAGTTATTACAGAATAACTAACTATTATCACTTCTTAATGTCCTTTTGAAATCCATGTATAAAATCATTATTAATGTATATATCAATATTTCACATGATGAATCAAACAAAATAAAAGATGCCAAAATGACTGAAAAAAACAAATAAATAAATGTAAATATTAAAATCTAAAAATTTATAAACTTACTACTAAGAATCTACAATCTACCCACTACTCTTCATTTATTTAATTTTATTATGCATTTTTACAATAATTGTTCGCCTAGAGGTTTTTCTTTTACTGATTCAAAATTTATAAATTGAGATTTTTGTCTTGTTGAGTCTCACAATATGCTGTATTAAATAAATGACTTTTAACTAAAATAAAGCATTAATATGTAAATTCACAATTTTCTGTATCAAATTAACTGAAATCACACATTTATTTAACTGAAACTAGTGATGGGTGTAAAAATTATCTTTAAAATGATCAAGTTATTAAGTAATTAATAACTCCATTAATGACTTATTAAGTGTTAAAAAACACAAACCTGAAGAACTTTTATGTATTGTTTTTTGAAAAGGATTTTGAGAATGCCCTGGTCCTTGCTATCAAATGAAGAATATAATCACCTGGAAAAAAAAAAATAAAAGATGGGATGAAAAAAGCATTAGACAGTTTTTGTAAGTGGACGGAATGCTGGATCTATTTTCCATAGTAATTTGTAGTTTAGGAAGTAGTAATGATCCGGAATTTGCTCATGCCATATTTCATGTGTTCTTTTCTGCTTTCTATAATGTAGGAATAAATTTGCATGAGAAAAATTATATTGAACTTCTTGAGAGAGATAAATTGAAAGGTATCAACCAATCTTTTGGTTTGTTGGAAACTTTGCAAGAACAAGATTTTTTAGATGAATTTCAGAGTTTTTCTGCATCTGTAGCTTCAGACCTCTACAAATTTCCACTTCTGTATGATTTTGTGAAATATAGAATTTGGTCTATTGTAGTACACAAACAGCAAATTGAAAGCCTGTTTAACAAATATGATAATAAAACACACCCTAATATGAAGAAACCACTTCAAGAATCATGAATGTTGCTATCTGGTTCCAATAAAAATTACAAAAGAAAATCTTGCAGTTGTTAGGAAAGAGCAAAGAGAACAAACAGTGAATAAAATATTCTCAAATGATTGAATTGCACAATGATTACTTATTATATATGCTTTTTTATTTGTTTACCCAAGTGTGAGAGTAGTGAGGAGAATTTTGAAGAAGCAATTTTAGGAGAGTATTTATAAGAAAATTTACAATGAACAATATTATTATTTATTATTTGTTAAATTGGTCTGCATTTTCCCAATAAAAAATCCTCACATGATTTTTTATGTGTGCTCAACTATGCTTATGTTTATGCTGATATGTAACACTCCAATCTCATTATCATGTAAGGCTTCCAAAAACACTTCTTGTTTTTTCTCTTTAATTTTTTTGCTTATGGATGTTTTTCCAATCCCTTTCTCAAAGGTGCTAATATGAATTTTTTTTCCCCTATCAATTCTGTATTTTACAAAAAAATTTTAAAATTCAATTTTTAAAATTACTTAAACAATGATGTAATTAATTATAAATGTAACAGATACTTGGAAGCCTGTATTATTTTTAAAATACTGGTGAATAGGACTTTGCATTATTAACTAATGGTAATGGTGACATCGACCCTATTGTTGTAATTTTTCTGCCAGTTGGAGAGCATTTTATATCAGACTGGGTCAATCATGGGAATAAAAAAAAAAAGATTGCTATCAAAAAAAAAAAAAAAATTAGGTGAAAATCTATAAATATACAAAAAGGTCAAACTATTAATACCTGTCTTCATAATTGCTACTGATGGTTCTGGTATCATTACTAATAATACTATTAGTATACTGCCGCTGGTACTATTGTTAGCACTGCTACAATTTCTAGTACTATGATTATTGTTGTTGATATTATTACAATATCTTGATATTGTAAGTTGAAATGTGGATGGTGATAAAATATTCAACTTTTGTTGCCCATCATGTAATAAAGCAGCTGAAAATTTTATGAGGAGACCCCAGGACCAGTGTAGTTTTTTTCTTTTGTATAGTGAAAGAACTTTCCAGCTTCCTCTAAACAAATACTAAATTCTAAGAAAATCAAAATTAATTATATTGATTGGTTATACAGTACGTGATTTTTTTTTGTGATTTGCATATTAATATCACATGCAGGATTTCTGAAATTTATGTAAAGAACATAGTAAACATATTGTTTTAAAAACCTCTAATAATTTTATAAATGTAATGATTTTCCAGAAGCCTTAGTGATTGAAAGTTCATATTACTAATAAAAAACATTAATAATGTAATTGAAAAATATTTTGTTACACTGTTTCCTTTTTTAGAGAAAAAAGGGGGTACCGTAAAAAAATCCGCATATATGGATTTACATTATTAGATTTGTTAATAAATAGAAAGCTAATAAAATAAACAAAACTTTACCCAAAGCTATTATTAACTTTTTTAGTTCAAGTTTATGCACGTGTTGAAAGGGCAGATCACTAAAAAGATTTTGGACCAGGTTTCAAAATTTTAGTCAATGTTTAAGTTAACTAACCTTCAAGAAAAAAGAAGCTTGCAGTGGAGTTAAAAAAAGAAGGCGAGTTAACCTTCAAAAAAAAGAAGGGTGGAGTAACCTTCAAAAAAGAAGGTTGATTTAATAGAATGATGATGTCAGATACTGCATTAATCATTACCACGTTGATGTGAATATAAATTTCCAAAACAAAATGTTATTGTTAAAATAATTGAAAGGGTAAATTTAATATATATGTGAATATTTACTTCTTATATTGATCATATATTAATTTTATATTCAATTTAAGTTTAAGAAAAGAAACTCAACTCTATACAAAATTGTCATAAGATATTTAATCACTCATTTATTCTATATATATAAAATTTCTTTTGAAATTATTGATTCATTTTTATTTTAAACAAATCATATATAATCAGGTGATTATAATAACAGGAAAAAAATTTTATTAAAGAGAAAGACAACAACAGCAACAACATCAGTAATAATGATGGTATGTAATTATTTTAAAAAAAAATTTGTATTTTATAATTTAAATTATCTTTAATCTTATTTATGTTAAAATTTTAGATGTAATAATAGTTTGTGACAATACTGCTGATAATAATAGTACTGGTGGTAATACAATTCCCTGTGGTAATTAATTCAAATTAATTGTGGACTATAAAATTATATTACTGTAATTATGATTAAAAATAAATCTTTTTTGAAGATGCATTAGGTAACAACAATGATAATGATAATGATCAAATTCATGAAGAGGAAATGGAATTTTTTGGCCATATATTGTTATTCAATTTATATTATATTTCCAATAATGATTTACATCATTTAGAGTCATCTAAAAAAAAATCACCAGAGAATAAAGAAAAAAATAAAAATTTTATTAAGAAAAAGAGAAAGACAACATCAGCAATAATGATGGTATGTAATTATTTTAAAAAAAATTGTATTTTAAATTTAAATTATTTTTAATCTTATTGATGTTAAAATTTTAGATGTAATAAATGCTGCTGCTGATAATAATAATACTGATGGTAATACAATTCCTTGTGGTTGTAATTATAATTAAAAATAAATCTTTTTGAAGATGCATTAGGTAACAGCAATGATAATGATGATAATCAAATTCATGAAGAGGGAAATGGATTTTTTTGACCATTTGTTGTTATTCAATTTATATTGTATTTCCAATAATGATTATTATTAATTTAATGATTTACATCATTTAGAATCATAAAAAAAAAAAAATAAGAAATATTAAAAACAAATGAATTGTTCTTATATTGACAAAAAATATATACATGTGTGTTTTTTAGTTAAAATTTTGTAACAATCTTTAATCTTGATTGATCGGTGAAATAATTCTAGTCAAAATTAGGTAATTAATCCATACCATATTTGGTAATGTAGAAAAATTCGTTTTGTTTAAATTCGCTATTACTAATTTGGCAATCGGGATTATTGCGTTTTATTTCAAAGAATCATGATAATTATTTTAATCCTATTTGGAATATTTTAAATAAGTTAGAAAATAGTGATGCAAAACAACAAGCAAGAACTAAATATTTTGAGCTTCAAAATGATAAAATATACGTAATAGATGGAAAGAGATTAGCAGTCCCAGATGACAAAGCCTTACGAACAAAAATTCTAAAGGAACATCATGATGTTGAGATCGCTGGTCACCTTGGAATTGATAAAACATGTGAATCACTTATGAGAAATTTTTATTGGCCAAGAATGAGTAAAGATGTATGTAAATATATACTTACTGTGATGAATGCCAACGAAACAAGAGTAGTAATCAAATGCCTGCAGGACTGTTACAACCTTTATCTATACCAAATCTGAGATGGGAACAAGTCACTATGGATTTTATTGTTCAACTCCCATTAACACACCAAGGAAAAGATGCAATTGTAGTATTTGTTGATAAATTAACCAAGCAAGCACATTTCTGTGCAACTAACACAACTATTACTGCTCCAGAGGTTGCAAAAATTTTCTTTTCAGTTATTTTTAAAAATCATGGATTACCCAAAGTAATCATTTCAGACCGAGATTCAAAATTTACCAGCAATTTCTGGAAAATGCTTTTTCAACAATTAGGTACCAAGTTGTCAATCTCCACAGCTTTTCATCCTCAGTCAGATGGACAAACAGAGAGAATGAATCATATGTTAGAAGAAATGTTATGAATTTATGCAACATACAATCAAGACCAATGGGATGAATATTTACCTGCAGCAGAATTTGCATACAATAATTCAAAGAATGTCTCCACAGGTTTCACACCTTTTGAACTTGATTGTGGATATCATCCAAACACTCCAGTGACAATTTTATCAAATAATTCAACAAGAGTTGCTACCATGAATGAATTCTTAGATCATTGGAATAATATGATGAAAATAGCAAGAGATACATTAATATTAGCACAAGAAAAACAAATTAAATATGCAAATTAACATCGACGCCATGTAGAATATAAAATAGGAGATAGAGTCTTATTATCAACAAAAAATATTAACACACCTATAGATAAAGAAATACCTACAAGAAAACTTAGTCCTAAATATATTGGTCCATATAAGATAATAGCAGAAATATCAAAAACAGCATTTACCAACAAATTTAAAAATTCATCCAGTGTTTCATGTCTCACTCCTTAAACCATATAAAGAATCTGATGAATTTTAAAGGGAAATTCCACCTCCACCTGTTTTTACAACAGATAATGATCAAGAATATGAAGTTGAAATGATCTTGGACAAAAGAATTATTCGTAAAAAGCCACAGTACCTTGTGAAATGGTTAGGTTACCCACTATATGATGCTACATGGGAACCTATGGAAAACCTAAAGAATTGTCAAGAATATGAGGCAACGAGAACGTTGAACTTTAAGGGGGGGGGGGGAAATGTAACAATCTTTAATCTTGATTGATCGGTAAAATAATTCTACGGTGCAGATCATCTATAATCATTAATTGCTTATAGTAACAATTGGTCAACTTCAAAATACTAAAACAAAAAAA